GCACCCCGCTGCGCTGTCCTGCACCGCGCTGCGCTGTCCTGCACTGCGCCGGGTCCTGCTGCACCCCGCTGCACTGTCCTGCACCGCGCTGCGCTGTCCTGCACCCCGCTGCGCTGTCCTGCACCCCGCTGCGCTGTCCTGCACTGCGCCGGGTCCTGCTGCACCCCGCTGCACTGTCCTGCACCGTGCTGCGCTGTCCTGCATTGCACTGTTCCACATCCCGCATCGCCGTGCGCCGCACGTTGGCAGTGGCCGCGGTGCAGCTCGAGCTCCGGCTACCGCCGGGGCACTGGGGGCTGCCGGTCGTCCTGTCCCGCTCCAGCCCCTGCCCGGGGCCGCTGCGAGGAGAGAACCGGGAGGCCCCGGGTCCCGCAGCTCCCGGAGCAGCCCGGGGTGAGCAGAAGCTGGGAGTCGGGAGCACCCGGCTCTCAGGACCCGGCTGCGCCTCCCTTCCGCATGCCTGCAGGACACGGACCCTGCCCAGGGCTGCGACCGGGCCGTGCTGCCCCTGGGTGGCACCGCCGGGCCGGGGCTGCGGCCGCCCCGAGGGGCCTGGGGCCGCGCGGGCGCCGCTTCCCTCTTGCCTCAGCCCGCCCGTCGCTGCCGCAATCGCCGCTGACTCGGAGAGTCCGGGAAGCGCCGCCAGAGCTGCCACTTTCTTGGAATCTGCCCAAGGCGGCGGCTGTGACGCGCCGGCCAGGGCAAATCCCCAGCGAGGCCTCGCGGAGCACTCGCCTCCCCGGAAAAGCCGCACGGACGCACCTCTTACGTAAGCGGCTGCGGGTCTCCTGGCCGAGCTCGCCCTGGGCAGGCAGCAGCAACCGGGGTCACCCCACAGCGCGACAACTCCCCGGGGCCCGGAGCGGGGAATGCCAGGACCTGGAGCAGAGAACACTGTTCCCATCCCTGGCCCGGCCCTGTGTCCCCAGGGGCTCCGGTCGGGCCCCAGCGCTTCAGGAGAGCCGCAGCGCACGGGAGGTGCCGGCCCGGGAGGCGCCTGCAGCCGCTGCTTGTCCTGGTCAATGCAATTCCCCCAGGATGTGGTGCTGGGAAATGGTGCTGCGGAGCCCCAGCAAGGAGAGGAGAACCGCCCGCGGGGCTGGGCTGGGAACGGACACAACTCGCCGCACCTGTGGGCCTGGCTGCCTCCAGGGGCGGCACCAGCCCAGGCAGGAGCCGAGGGGCAGCACGGGGGCCTCAGGAGCTGAGTGCCCACCCGTGCCAGAGCCATGTCCTGGCCGGGCCCTTCCCAGCGCAGCCGCTTCCCGGCAGGACGGGCAGCTGGAGCGTCGTGCCTGCGGCGCGGTCGGGGCGGCAGGAAGCGCCGCCCGTGGCGGGGCCAGCACGGCCACCCCAACACAGGAAACAGCGGCAGCCGCGGCGGCTCCCGCAGGCACCGCGCTCCCCCCGGCACCGCCGCGGAGCCTCGGATGGAGCCAGCCCCGCGCGGGCCCGGCGCGGATCCCGCTTCCCTGCCCGGGCCGTGTCTGCAGCGCAGCCCCGCGCGCTTCCGCTGCCGCCCGCCAGGACGTTCCCACGTCCCCCGCGCGCTTCCCGGGCGGATGCAGGAAAGGGCCGAGCGCAGCTGGGGACTTACTGTAAATGGCACCACCTGCCCCGGACGTGGCAGCAGCCTCGGCCCCTCTGCGCCCGGCGCGCGCGGTGCTGGGAAGCGCATTCGGCCCCGGTGCCACACGAGCTGCTGCCGACTGCCTGCTCGGGCAGCGCTGGCATTGCCGCGGGAGCACCGGCCTCTGCGCATGCGGCGTGGACCAGTGGCACAGCCCCACAGTGCAGCCCCATGGCACAGCCCCACAGCACAACCCCACGGCCCAGCCCCATGGCCCCCTCGGCTGGTCCGGGCGGTCCTGGGCACAGGCGGCAGCAGAAAGCCCTCAGTCTCCACAGGGAGTGTCTGTTGCAGCAGCCCCTGCGGGCTCTGCGGGCCGGAGCTGTCGATTCCTCACTCGTTCCGTGAGCGGAGGAGCCGCTGCGGTCACGGCCGCCTGTGCCCTGGCAGGCGGGAGCCGGCGGCCCGGCCGCCCTGGCCGGGTGGGCACAGGGGCCTGCGCGGAGCCACCCGGAGCTTTGCCCCGCGGAGCCGGGCCAGGGCTCTGCGTCCGAACCTGCGGCATCGAAACAGCCGCCGCCGCCTGCCCGTGCAACCCTGTGCACAGTGCCTGTCCGGGCACCCCTTGCATCCTGGGCACCCCCACATCCCTTGTGCCCCACACCACCCTGCTCCGGGCACCCCGTGAGTGGGGAGCGGAGCCCCCGGCCCCGCTCGTGGGCCTGGGCACGGCGGCCGCTGCCCCCAGCCCGCCCGGGCCGGGCGCTGGCGCCGCTGCCAGCGGCAGATGTTTGGAATGGAAAAATCCCTCCTGCTCCGTTGCCGCGGCGACCGGGGAAGTTTTCATCCCGCGGCAGCTGCTGGAGCCGGCAGAAAGTCCTGACATTTGGGAGGGCGGACTCAAACAGAGCCGCGTTGCTGGGGCGATGCTGCCGCAGGGCCGGCCCTGGCCGGGGCGAGCGGCGGCTCCCGCGGGGGACACGTGCCCAGCGCCACCCCGGCCCCTCCGCACTCCGCACGGGCACCACGGCCGCGGCACCCGGCGCCAGGGCGCACAGGGCCGACAATCCCTGCAGGCCCAGGGAACGCGAGCGCCTCCTCCACCACAGGCCGTTCCCTGTTCCCTATTCCCTGGCCCCATCCCGGTGTGTCCTGTGTGGTACACGGAGCCCCTGGCACTGTTACCCAGCTTGGTGCCTTCCCCAGCCGGGCACCTCTGGGACCAGGCACCAGCATGAAGGGGCAGGAGGTGCCTGGTGCCTCTTGCAGCTGCACCCCACAGAGCCCCCGTCCTGCACGGCCGCCCCACAGCCCCGTGCCGGGTGGTCCCCGTGGGGCCGGCGCCAGCAGGACCCTGGGCACCATCCGGGCGGGAGCGGGAGCCCTGCTGACTCATCACTCGGCTCTTCTCGTTTTTCCATGGTGCCGCGGAGCTGTTTGCTGGAAGCCAGCTCAGAGCTGTGACTAATCTGTTCTCAAAACAAGCGCAGGGCGAGCACGGAGGTTTGTGCAACCCCGCGGGGAGGGGGCTGAATCACGGCCTGGGCCACGCCGGCAGCAGCTGACAGCAGCTGGGGCTGCTC